GCTCATTTTACTCAGACAACCAATCAGTCTCTCAGGATCATTGTGAAGCTATTAAGCCACGCCCTAGCAACCATTTAGAGCACCTTAGCAACAACTCCCATAGACTTCCATTGAAAGAGATCGAAGGGATATCTCTGGACTCAATTGTCATAGAAACATGAGGGTGGTCTCGTTTGACTCGGGGCAGCAAACAGCCAATCATGAGTCACCTCAACACTTCCTAGCCACGCCCTAGCAACCATTGTCGAGCACCTTAGCAACCAAAATCCAAAGAGGAATATCGTCCATTCTGAATGTCACAGAGGCATGGGAGTTGGTTTATATCATTCATACTGACAAGCAGCCTTTGGAGTTTCATGATTGGCAGCTGCCAAGCCACTCCCTAGCAACCAAACAGAGTACCCTAGCAACCATTTTGCAAGACCTACATCTCTGCATCAGAACATCGTATAGAGATGGGGGTTGGTTTATACATTCACATTGACTTTGGAGCTTCATGATTGGCAGCTGCCAAGCCACTCCCTAGCAACCAAACAGTGTACCCTAGCAACCGTTTTGCAAGACCGATATCTCTGCATCAGAACATCGTATAGAGATGGGGGTTGGCTATTTTGACTCATGCTAGCAAACAGGACTTGCTACATGCTACACATGCTAGCAGTGAATAGCTACATGCTAATATTGATTAGCTAAGTGCTAAATCATGCCAATAAAATGCTACAAACTCAACAGTAACCATCTTTGACAACTACCAACCACCTAGTAACACCATAGCAACCACACAGATTACCCTAGCAACCACCCAGAACACCCTAGCAACTGCCTAGCAACGCCCTAGCAACCACCCAGAACACCCTAGCAACCGCCTAGCAACCACCCAGGATACCCTAGCAACTGCCTAGCAACACCCTAGCAACCACCCAAATTACCCTAGCAACCGCCTAGCAACCACCCAGGATACCCTAGCAACTGCCTAGCAACGCCCTAGCAACCACCCAGAACACCCTAGCAACCGCCTAGCAACCACCCAGAACACCCTAGCAACCAACCAGAATACCTTAGCAACAACCTAGCAACACCCTAGCAACCACCCTGAACACCCTAGGAATGCCCTAGCAACCACACAAATTACCCTAGCAACCGCTTAGCAACCACCCAGGATACCCTAGCAACTGCCTAGCAACGCCCTAGCAACCACCCAGAACACCCTAGCAACCGCCTAGCAACACCCTAGCAACCACCTAGTAATACCATAGCAACCATGCTAGCAACATGCTAAACATGCTAGCATCATGCTAGCAACATGCTAATCATGCTAGCATAATGCTAGCAACATGCTAATCATGCTAGCATGATGCTAGAAACATGCTAATCATGCTAGCAACTAGCTACAAACATGCTAGCAACAGGCTAATCATGCTAGCATCATGCTAGCAACATGCTAATCATGCTAGTAACATGGTAGCAACATGCTAATCATGCTACAAATATGCTAGAAACATGCTAATCATGCTAGCATCATGCTAGCAACATGCTAATCATGCTAGCATCATGCTAGCAACATGGTAATCATGCTAGCATCATGCTAGCATCATGCTAGCATCATGCTAGCAACATGCTAATCATGCTAGCAACATGCTAGCAATATGCTAGCAACATGCTAATCATGCTAGCATCATGCTAGCAACATGCTAATCATGCTAGCATTATGCTAGCAACATGCTAGCAACATGCTAAACATGCTAGCATCATGCTAGCAACATGCTAATCATGCTAGCATCATGCTAGCAACATGCTAGCAACATGCTAAACATGCTAGCATCATGCTAGCAAGATGCTAGCAACATGCTAGCAACATGCTAAACATGCTAGCATCATGCTAGCAACATGCTAAACATGCTAGCATGATGCTAGCAATATGCTAATCATGCTAGCATGATGCTAGCAATATGCTAATCATGCTAGCATGATGCTAGCAATATGCTAATCATGCTAGCATGATGCAAATAATGCTAGCATCTAACTAAAACATGTTTGCAACATTCTTATTTTTGCTAGCATCATGCTAGCAACATGCTAGCATAATGGGAGAATCTAACTAAAACATGCTAGTAACATGCCTATAATGCTAGCATGATGCTAGCAACATGCTAATCATGCTAGCATGATGCTAGCAACATGCTAATCATGCTAGCATCTTGGTAAAAACTAGCTAACCGCACGCTAGCAACCGAGCGGCGAGTTTTGCCACTGCAAGCACCACTTCACATTTTCTTCTGGAAATGTACATTCTAGTTTTATTTTTATTATTAAGATGTCTGCATAAGAGTTAACTGTAATTTGTGCAAACATTAAACTTAAATTAAACGTCTCGCTTTGGTCTACACTGGAAGTGTTCTGCTCGCTCTGCTAAAGCTAAACTATAATTACTAAAACTGAAACTAAATAAAATAAAAACTATATAGAAATGTGTTTGCAAAATAAAACTAAATAAAAACTAACAAAACCATTAATGAAACTAGCTAAAACTAAACTGAAATTTAAAGCAAAATTGAAAACGATATTAAAATAAAAACTAATTTAAAAAAGCAAAACTATAACAACAGATATTCCCGGAGACAGAGCACACCCGAAGACGGCTCTCACTCAGAAATCAATAAAGTATTCATTCGCTGCCGGTTCTCATTATGACAAGACAAGCCAAAAAGTGGAAAGACATAACAAGTGCATTCAGGCCTACCTCATGTTGCACGTTTGCACTTTTTGAGAAAAAAAATGGCACAAAACAAAAAACATTTCAGGTCTATGTCCAATGAAATGCCTCACCTGTTTCTAGTTATCTACTGTTAAAATACATATTTTGCCTGTAATTTAACTAAGGTGTACTAAAATGTGATTCCAATTTTTTTTTTCTCATATCGCGATATAATATCGATATCGTCCGGACAGTGAAAAATATCGTGATATGAATTTTTGCTCATATCGCCCACCCCTATCTACAATAGACTGTATATAAGGAGAGAGGCTCGGGAGCGCGCATGCACGTCACATCCGTTTGATTTCGCGGTAAATCCGACCCAGAGACTTCACATAGAAATAGGAATACTGGCCTTCAGAGGTAATAGCAAAACTCGACAAGTGGATCATTTTAATGTGTGATTACAACCCCTTCACACACAGGCAATAAAAAAAGGACTCATTTTAGTAGAAAAGTTACATAGAGCACCTTTAAGAGAATAATGTTAAAAATCAAACTACTCTTGCATCTCAATGATCGCATTACATTTACAGGAACTAGTTTCACACCTGAATCAACTCATCAGCTCGTTAGTAGAGACTCCAAGACCAGAAATATATGGGTCAGAAAATGCCAAAATGTGCACTGTTGGTGTGCCTCAAGGAGTAGGGTTGGGAAACACTGGCCTAGGTAACTACATATCACTCCGCCGCTGCTGTAGACTGCGCTAATAAATACAGGGAACAAAGTATAACTATTGCAATGAGATGAAAGGGTAGTTTGATTTCTAACATTATTCTCTCAACAGACATTTACATCGATAGTCTGGCGTTATAATGTATTTGCTTTTGGTGAACTGTGGAGTGGATAAAACTGTTTTTAATGCCAGGCTAGCAGTTACCGTTGACTCGTGCTAGCCTAGCACCGGCGAACTATGCAACTGGAACGACTGGATGAAAATTTTTGAAAACTTGGAAATGAGGCCAATGAGGCCCGATGTCCAAAATTCTGAACCACCCCTTTAAGTTAACTATAATAACCCTGCAATCAACAATACATTTGTTATAGTTAACCTTTGCTAAAAATTTGTCAATAAAAATACAACTGTTTATTGTTCGTTCATGTTAAATGGAATCTTATTGTAAAGTGTTGCCGAGTTTAAAGTTTTATTTCCGTGAATAAGTTTCAATGAATTGATACAAAATTCTGAATCGATAAATAATTTGCTTGTAGCATTTAACTTTTCATGCATTTAAATGTGTTAGTTTATATGCAAGTAAATATTGCTGTTGATTCTTATATGGATGCTTTTCCAATGGTCATGGAAAACATGGAGATGTTAAAATGTTGATTTCCAGGCCATTTAAATAAAATGAAATAAAGATAAATACATTTATTGGATAGATTAAATAAATAATAATTACAAAATATATATACTTTTTATTAGAAAATTAGAAAAACTGTATCTGACGTTATGTTAGTCAAACAAAATTGTGCCACCACTGAAATATGAAATCGGATGTGAGGATGCAGTATTTTACAGTGTGTGTCCATCAAACATCAGCAATAATAACAGAACTACAGCACTCGGTGAGAGCATGCGGGCGTGTGGTTGAGCTAAGAGCTGGTATCAGCTGCTTTTACCAGATGCTTGGCTTAAAAATACAAATGTCAGCATTTACTCTGTAATCATGTCGTTTCAAACCCGTATGACTTTCTTTCTTCCGCACACTAATCTTTATGATAAAAGATTCAACAACTCACGCAACATGTCTTGATATGTGAAAATGTGCAAACATTAATACGATTTGAGAGATTTGATTATATGACATGCTATCAAATCAGAAGAATCTGAATATAATCCATGAGCCTTATAAACTACTTAATGAAACTTAATTGTGCTTTTTTGTCATTTGTGGAGCTTGAAAGCATCCAAACCTCATTCAGTTTGATAAGAGCATGTGCTAAACATGTTCCACTGAAGACAGAAAGTCAAAAAATAACAAGGAATCGGTTTCTTTAATCAGTATTATAGTCACTCAGCAAAGAAACAAATGAGAAAACTAATGAATTTCACCCTTGTGTCATGATATTACTATAGTTTAAACGATATTGCCGCGTTACTGACAGTATATGCTCATAAATGTCTTTTTGTATCTGGTTTTCTATAGGCAGCGTAAGCGCACGTCAGTTTTGTGTTTTGCATGAAAGGTGTGTGTTTTGCATGGACGGTGTGTGTTTGCTGCCCTCTGCTGACACTCACGTCTGCGTCCTCGTGCTTGTTGACCCCGTGGAAGTAGAACGGCTTGTTGTTGATGAGAAACTGCGTATTGGTGACCTTAACCGTACGAATACCCACAGAAAGAGTGTAAACATCCGTCTGTCCATCCTCTGCTGTCGCCTGAACCTACAAACAGCAGAACAAACATGAGTTATTGAATCAAAGCTTTGAATCAATTCATTGAAAAACGCTTTGAACTGATTCACAAAATGAATCTATAAACTCAGATTTTTTTAAATAATAAGATTCACATTAGTTAACATGAGCATGAATTTCCACATTTACTAGTACATTATTAAAAACCAAAAGTTAATATTTAATAGACCTGAGCTAACATGTACCAATTAAACGTTTTATTAACTAATGTAGCAAATGTATTGCTCATTGTTAATGTTAGTTAATGCATAATCCAGCATTAACTAAATGCGACCTTATTGTCTAATGCTATCTTTTCTACTAAGTTTCAATCAAAAATGTTATTTATAATCTAACGACACAATATGGCCAAATAAACAGAGCATTGTTATAATCAGTGCAATATTTGCGCATTAATTTGACATAACCAGGAAAAGTTTTTTCTTTTACATTTATGCATTTGGCAGGCGCTTTTATCCAAAGTTGCTTATATTGCATTTGATCAATTTACGCGGATCCACAACAGAACCGGAAGACAATACAATGCTGAATAAAGTCGTAGTTTTTGTTATTTTTGGACCAAAATGTATTTTCGATGCTTCAACACACTCTAACTAACCCACTGATGTCACATGGACTACTTTGATGATGTCTTTATCTCCTTTCTGGACAAGGACAGTATACCGTACATACATTTACAATGGAGGGACAGAAAGCTCTCGGACTAAATCTAAAATATCTTAAACTGTGTCCTGAAGATGAACGGAGGTCTGACGGGCTTGGAGCGACATGAGGGAGAGTCATTAATGACATCATTTTCATTTTTGGGTGAACTAACCCTTTGAATAAACTACCTATACAAGTAGTTATGTCTCTTTGTATTAATTTGTGCTGTTATTGACGTAATGCGAGTCATTGACAAAATGCGCAACCAGATGTTCGAATAGTTCGAATGTATGTGTTTTTTTTAGAGGGAATATTCGAACGAACGTCATTTTTGAGCAATTTTGACAGCCCTAGTCACAATAGGGATGAAAAGCTTAGTGCAACTTCTGTTTCATGCCGACACCATCGGAGAGTAACTTCACTGACCTCCATGGAGTAAAGGTATCCTGGGTTTTCGTGCATCAGGTACGGCCACCAGAGGTTGACGTCTGTGACCTTGAGAGTTCCTCGGGAGCCGTTAGCCGAAGCCACACATCTGCCGTCCTTTGCAGAGAGCGTCACTTTCACAGCAGGCTTAGAGCCGCCCAACACGGACACATTATAACTCACCAGCCCTAAATCACAGGACACACATATGAACAGATGAACTAGGCACTAAATCAACAAACATTTTAAACAAATGCATCAGGTTAAGGTCTATTCATAGTTTTCACGTGACATCACCCACATTGAGGGTTCAAAACAAGGCTTTCTTCCATTGACCACCAGTCATTTTTACCAGGTTTGTATTAAGTACTAATGTAGAGAGAGACAGTGATGTTAAAAGACCAAATTCAGTTTACCGGGTACACGCTATTGAGGATGCATACTACAGGTGAAACTCGAAAAATTTGAATATCATGCATAAGTTAATTTATTTCAGTAATTCAACTTAAAAGGTGAAACTAATATATTATATAGACTCATTACAAGCAAAGTGAGATATTTCAAGCCTTTATTTGTTATAATTTTGATGATTATGGCTTACAAATAATGAAAACCCCAAATTCAAAATTAGAATATTATGAAAAGGTTTTCATAAGCCATAATAATTTATGATTATGAAATAAAGGCTTGAAAATTATAACAAATAAAGGCTTGAAATATCTCACTTTGCATGTAATGAGTCTATATAATAAATTAGTTTCACCTTTTAAGTTGAATTACTGAGATAAATGAACTTTTGCATGATATTCTAATTTTTCGAGTTTCACCTGTATATACAGGAAAGTAGATGAACCCAGAATATAAACGCAACACACAGTTTCTCGTTAATTGTTTTTCCATATAAAACCATAATAAAGAAAAGCATTTTATAATGTCCCGCTGTTTTTAGTGATTGAAATACTGTAGCATGTGTTGTTTATGGATCACAAGTCCCTAAAACTAACATTTTGTTCACATATTTTTGAGAGGTGATCAAAATATCTGTGGCTTGAAACTATGAATAGCTTCTAATGGCCTAAAGTAAATTCCCACAAAAAAAAAAATACAATTCGTCCCTCGGTTTGTTAAAACACGTGAAAATCATACTTACACAGAACGTCTATGAATGTTCAAATACACATTAAAAATACTACATTTCGACTTTTCATTTTTGAAAGTGCTTCTGAGAAATGTTTGAATTCACTTAATAAACAGAAGAGGGGATTTGAGGAATCTACATTTATGTATAAAATATTTTGCAAATATTATAATGTTATTAATCAAGTAAAACAAAAGACAGAAGTCTGTGAATGGTTATACCATTCATTATATGTTCTAATGTGAAAGTGAAAGTATCAGGAGCCACATCTTTTTCTGTACGCCAATTCTCCGCTTACCAATGTTATCAGAGAATGACGTCTCCACTGTGATGTCATCAATGTGCACCTTTGGTGTCGTGTACAGCAGGACCGATCGGTGTATTCCAGCGTAGTTGAAGAAATCAAAGTTAGTGTTCTGAACGAAGTAGCCAGCGGGGTATCTGTATGGAAAAGAAAATGGCAAAGAAATACAATTTTTATGTTTATCCAACTAGGTCCTACAGGTTTGGAACGACATGAGGGAGAGTAATTAACAACAATTTTCGTTTTTAGATGAACTGTCACTTTAAATATGAGTAACTTTTTCAAATAAATAACGCAAGTTACTTTGTTTTCCCATGTATTATTGACTGACAGCTCTCCGGTCCCCATTTTGAGAGAAATCGTAAGTGCAGAGGCGAGTGTGTGCGCTGTGTGAATATAATGCGTATTGCAGTAAAACACATTCAGGTCTTCAGCCAGTTGTTGATTAGCCACAGTGCTGGGGGATGGTGTCAGTTTTCAACACATTAAAGGGATAGTTCACCCCAAAATGTAAACTCTGTCAGGAATTACTCTCGCTCATGTTGTTCAACCCCGTAAGACTTTCGTTCATCTTCTGAACACAAATTAAGATATTTTTGATTAAATCTGAGAGCTGGATCACTCCTCCATAGGCTTCTAAGGGATCGAAACTGGCCGGCCCAGAAAAGTTATGAAAGACATCGTTAAAATAGTCCGAGTGACTACAGTGGCTCAACCTTAAGTTTATCAAGCGACGAGAATACTTTTTGAGCGCAAAAAACAAACAAAAATAACGCCTTTATTCAACTATTCATTTCCTTCTCTGTGGGCCTCGAGATTTCACGTAGTGTAACAGCGCAGCGCTTCTGTGTTGTCCGTCACACACACATCAAACACATGACCAGCGTCGGCCAATAGTGAGCCTACGTGTACAACACAGAAGCGCTGCGCTGTTACACTACGTGAAATCTCGAGGCCCACAGAGAAGGAAATGAATAGTTGAATAAAGTCGTTATTTTTGTTTGTTTTTTGCGCACAAAAAGTATTCTCGTAGGTTGAGCCACTGTAGTCACTCGGACTATTTTAACGATGTCTTTAATAACTTTTCTGGGCTGGCCAGTGACAGCTCAAAACCCGTAAGATCTTCGTTCAACTTCGGAACACAAATTAAGATATTTTTGATGAAATCCGAGAGCTTTCTGAACCAGCCATAAGCAGCAACGTCATTGCAACTTCCAAGGCCCAGAAATGTAGTAAAGACATCGCTAAAAAAGTCCATGTGACTACAGTGGTTCAACCTTAATGTTATGAAGTGACGAGAATACCTTTTCTGCGCCAAAAAAACTAAAACAACGACTTTATTCTTCAATCTCTTGTCTTTCTTGCCTATGCTGTTGACTTAGTGTACCAAAACTCTTCCAGGTTCTACATCAGAACGCCGACTTATTATTGGCCGACGCTGGTCATGTGAGCACCACGACACATGCGTGTGATGCTGACGCAGGAGCTAGTCAATAATAAGCCGGCGTTCTGACGTAGAGCCTGGAAGAGCTGCACTACACTACATATACAGTGTAGGAGAATGACGTGGAAGAGAAGAAATTGTTAAATAATACCGTTATTTTGGGGGGTTTTGCACACAAAATGTATTCTCGTCGCAGCTTGAATCACTTTCTGAACCACCTATAGGCAGCACACAGTACTCTTGTCACAGTACAGGAGGGTGGGGTTTAAATCGTTGTATTTATAGGCTGTGTTATCTTTCGTGTAGGTATTCTGAGTCCCATTGCTGGTATCAGTAAGAAATGTATTCATAGGCTGTGTAGGTATTCGGATTACCATTGTTGGTAATATTATAATTATTTACCTGCGGTAATATGGTGTGTATTTAAGATATGCGGTGTTTTGATTTGTTTTTTTATGTATTCATAGGCTGTGTAGGTATTCGGATTACCATTGTTGGTATTACTATAACTATTTACCTGCTGTAATATATAGTGTGTATTTAAGAGATGTGGTGTTTATTTTGTTTTTTTGTTTTTTTCATACATATATAAATAAAATTGTAATTGTGAGGAATGATAATGTCAACAATTAAGGAAGTAGCTACCTTTGTTTTTCTTTCTTGTTTTTCCCCTAACTGTAACAGTCCGGGGTGGGTCTAAATAAGTCCGACTTCTTCCCACTCCGTTTCGAGCAATTGACTGATTTATGTTGTCAAAAATCAAATGTTTCTTATTGCCTTTGTTATATGTCACTATATTGCTAGAAATAAAATAAATTCATTCACTTTCGTCATATGGACTATTTTAACGATGTCTTTACTACCTTTCTGGGCCTTGAAAGTCGCAAAGATGTTGCTGCCTATAGGTAGTTCAGAAAGCTTTCGGATTTCATTAAAAATATCTTAATTTGTGTTTGGAACAACATGAGGGTGAGTAATTAATGACAGAATTTTCATTTTTGGGTGAACTATCCCTTTAAGTGTGAGAGCTTAATTAAACACGGGGAGAGTCTCAAGCACAAGAAATGCCGGGACAATTGTGTGTTGTGGTGCTTCTAACTTTTTAAAGTTGGGATTAAAAAAGTTAATTTTGAGCCCTGAAAAGGCAGAGAGCCAACTGGCATTCACTCGACTGCTGTTACAGCTGTTTTCTTTGAAAAACAGTGCCCTAAGGGAAAATTACGCTCTTTGGAGACCGCCCTGGTGGCCAGTTTCTACAACTACCCGGTGCGAAAGCCCCTTTTGTGTTTGTGAAGCAATACAGGAACATGTTCAACACCAGTTGATACTTATTGCAATGATATTCAGACATTTTTAAGTGTGATTTCAGTCCCCAAATACTTCTCTAGGGCCGCTATATGGACGTGTCTAACCTGGTGCGATCGTTCATGTACTGGATGGTTCCTGGTGGAAGTGTCTCTGGAGTTAAAGTGTTGTTCACTGCAATGGTGATCCGACATGCACTTCCGGTGCTCTGACGCAGGACGCCGCTGATGTCCGACTCAAAGGGAAGATGACCGCCCGCGTGTTCAGTCATCTTGACCCCGTTCACCCACTGCAACATGGGAACATCAAAGATCTGCGTGTCAGTCCTGAGACTGTGACTAACCAAATGAGTCAAAGACAATGGGCCCTATTTTAGCCATCTAAGCGCATGTCCGAATCCACTTTTGCTAGTTTAACGACGGGAAAAATGGTCGACGCATGGTCTAAAAGGGTTGTGTCTATTCTCTTAATGAGTAATGGGTGTGTTTTGGGCGTAATGTGAAATAAACCAATCATAGTCTCTCCCATTCCCTTTAAAAGCCAGTTGCGCTCGCGCCATGGTGGAATTTGCAAGTGGAAAGACTTAACGCTCGTGCGCGAGGTTAAAGCTGTGTGTGTGTGTGTGTGTGAGAGGTTAAAGCATAAGCAGACCATCTACAGGACAAGACGGATTCTACCATATCTCTATGCACACAATAATAATCTTTTACATTGTAAACCTTTTATTTTTATTATTTGGCATGTTTTAGTGCTGCTGTGTGTGTACTAAGCAGAGTTTGTGTGTAATAAGCAGAGTTTGTGTGTAATAAGCAGAGTTTGTGTGTAATAAGAAGAGTTTGTGTGTAATAAGAAGAGTTTGTGTGTAATAAGCAGAGTTTGTGTGTAATAAGCAGAGTTTGTGTGTAATAAGAAGAGTTTGTGTGTAATAAGAAGAGTTTGTGTGTAATAAGCAGAGTTTGTGTGTACTAAGCAGAGTTTGTGTGTAATAAGAAGAGTTTGTGTGTAATAAGAAGAGTTTGTGTGTAATAAGCAGAGTTTGTGTGTAATAAGCAGAGTTTGTGTGTAATAAGAAGAGTTTGTGTGTAATAAGAAGAGTTTGTGTGTAATAAGCAGAGTTTGTGTGTAATAAGCAGAGTTTGTGTGTAATAAGAAGAGTTTGTGTGTAATAAGAAGAGTTTGTGTGTAATAAGCAGAGTTTGTGTGTACTAAGCAGAGTTTGTGTGTAATAAGCAGAGTTTGTGTGTAATAAGAAGAGTTTGTGTGTAATAAGCAGAGTTTGTGTGTAATAAGCAGAGTTTGTGTGTAATAAGAAGAGTTTGTGTGTAATAAGAAGAGTTTGTGTGTAATAAGAAGAGTTTGTGTGTACTAAGCAGAGTTTGTGTGTAATAAGCAGAGTTTGTGTGTAATAAGAAGAGTTTGTGTGTAATAAGAAGAGTTTGTGTGTAATAAGCAGAGTTTGTGTATAATAAGCAGAGTTTGTGTATAATAAGATGAGTTTGTGTGTAATAAGAAGAGTTTGTGTGTAATAAGCAGAGTTTGTGTGTAATAAGCAGAGTTTGTGTATAATAAGATGAGTTTGTGTGTAATAAGAAGAGTTTGTGTGTAATAAGCAGAGTTTGTGTGTAATAAGCAGAGTTTGTGTGTAATAAGCAGAGTTTGTGTGTAATAAGCAGAGTTTGTGTAATAAGCAGAGTCTGTGTATAATAAGATGAGTTTGTGTGTAATAAGCAGTTTGTGTGTAATAAGAAGAGTTTGTGTGTAATAAGCAGAGTTTGTGTGTAATAAGCAGAGTTTGTGTATAATAAGAAGAGTTTGTGTGTAATAAGCAGTTTGTGTGTAATAAGCAGAGTTAGTGTGTAATAAGCAGAGTTTGTGTATAATAAGCAGAGTTTGTGTATAATAAGATGAGTTTGTGTGTAATAAGCAGAGTTTGTGTAATAAGCAGAGTCTGTGTATAATAAGAAGAGTTTGTGTGTAATAAGCAGTTTGTGTGTAATAAGCAGAGTTTGTGTGTAATAAGCAGAGTTTGTGTGTAATAAGCAGTTTGTGTGTAATAAGCAGTTTGTGTGTAATAAGCAGAGTTTGTGTGTAATAAGCAGAGTTTGTGCATAATAAGAAGAGTTTGTGTGTAATAAGCAGAGTTTGTGTGTAATAAGAGTTTGTGTGTAATAAGAGTTTGTGTGTAATAAGCAGTTTGTGTAATAAGAAGAGTTTGTGTGTAATAAGCAGTTTGTGTGTAATAAGAAGAGTTTGTGTGTAATAAGCAGTTTGTGTGTAATAAGAAGAGTTTGTGTGTAATAAGCAGTTTGTGTGTAATAAGCAGAGTTTGTGTGTAATAAGCAGAGTTTGTGTGTAATAAGAGTTTGTGTGTAATAAGAGTTTGTGTGTAATAAGCAGAGTTTGTGTGTAATAAGAGTTTGTGTGTAATAAGAGTTTGTGTGTAATAAGCAGAGTTTGTGTGTAATAAGCAGTTTGTGTGTAATAAGAGTTTGTGTGTAATAAGAGTTTGTGTGTAATAAGAAGAGTTTGTGTGTAATAAGAAGAGTGTGTGTGTAATAAGAAGAGTTTGTGTGTAATAAGAAGAGTTTGTGTGTAATAAGAAGAGTTTGTGTGTAATAAGCAGAGTTTGTGTATAATAAGAAGAGTTTGTGTGTAATAAGAAGAGTGTGTTTCGGCGCACCTGGTGAATGGTCTAAAAGGGATGTGTCTATTCTCTTAATGAGTAATGGGTGTGTTTTGGGATTTACGTGTGTTAAATCAATCAGAGTCTCATCTCCCATTCCCTTTTAATGGCAGTTGCGCTCGCGTCATGGCGGAATTTGCAACCGGAAAGACTGAACGCTTGTGCGCGAGGTCAAAGCTGTGTGTGTGTGTGTGTGAGAGGTTAAAGCGCAAGCAAACCATCTACGGGACAAGCCGGATTCCACCATATCTTTATGTACACAACAAAAATCTTTTACATTGAAATCCTTATATTTTTAATATTTGGCATGTTTGAGTGCTGCTGTGTGTGTAATAAGCAGAGTGTACGCACGTTGTGTACCCTATAGGCACATATTACTAATGCGTCCTTTAAATAACAATAAAAAATACTGCGCCATTGACTTTAGAGCAGGTTTCAGATAGTCAATGGAGCAGTCTATTTCTGTTGCCTCAAAATAGCAACACGCCAACAATGCGCCTGAACACACCTCGATTTCAGAGCAGAACCCCATGGGCGCACAGATGGGCACAAATGCATTTGCTATTTAAACAACGTGGTGCAGGACATGAAAATGATAACGCCGTCGGGCTGAAATTAGCAAAACACACTTGTGTCGCGCCTGGCGTATGATAGGGCCCAATGTGACACTTGCACCAGACACGTAAGAACCTGTGACAAATGAGATATCAATCTGGAAAGTGTATGCATGATAAAATACAGAGAAAAGAATCACTGATGGGAATCTCGTGCACTTACAAGCACAGAATAATAGTGTGCACTTCCAACTCGGAGCATGACCCGTGTTCCCTGATCCTGGATCCAGCGCGCAGGCACCCACAATTCCTTCTCATACCAAACCCAGCCAATGAAATCCCTGATTTTGGAGTCTTGTGTGATGTCATTGTAGCTGGACGGCACCGGCATGTCAATTACTGGACCCGTCTGGAACAAAAACACAATTAATATCTCAGACTATCAAAGACATAAACTCATCATAAAATCAGACTCAGAATGCAAAATAAATGATTTCATGCTTAATATGCAACATTTTATATTGGAACAACAAGTTGGCTGACTATGTTTACTACTTTGACAATAGCCTCTTAATAAAATGAACACTGTGTACGGGAATATAACAACATTTTAAACTAATCAAAACATTTAGTACCCTTGAAGCTCGAGAAGCTCTTTAAAACATCTCAAAATCGACTTTTCACTCAGATTATTGTGCTGATAATGTAATAGTGTATCTTTATTTTACTTTATTTATTTATGTTCTTTATTTTATGTTATGGTGCTTGTCTGTTGTCTGATTAAGACATTTCATATTTTGTACCAATATGGTTGTAAATATTGTTCTTAAAAAAATTATAAAATAAAAACAAAACAATTGTCCAGCTGTGCTGCGTCAGAGCTCACGTGACCTCCGCTAGTGGACTCTTGAACCACTCCTTCTCAAAGCCTCGGTTCCGCTCCGGAGAAAGATCCGCTCTGAATCTCCACAGGCCGTTCACTTCTTTCACTTCTCTGGAGGGAGAGTCTGTGGGGAACAGCATCCCGCCCTGCAGAGACTGACACACACTGCAGACAGCGGCCAGTAACACACATTTCAGCACAATCCCCTCTCCTGTTGAGTCCATCACGCGCGCGCTGGTCAACTTCTGTTTACACTCTCCACTTCCGCGCGTGACGTCATTCACGCGTGACATCCGCACGGCAGAGCATAATTTGATTAAAAAAAATTAAACCGTAATATTTGATTTTGCTATACCATGTTTTTTTTTGTTTAAACGATTCGTCTTATATTTATATGATTTTACTATACTTTATATTTGAAATAGGACAAAAACATACTTACCCAGTCGGTTCCCGCGCTTCGATGGTTCAAATTTTAACGGTCCAGTGACAGTCAATGGACATCAATTACTTCACACCAAAAAATAAAATGTCGAGAGGTCTGTATAACATAATAATACTATAGAAATATCTAAAACAACTGAAATATTAAACATAAAAGTGCAGCTGTCATGTTGACCACGAGGGGGAGACAACATATTACTAACTTACGTTCACAACGTCACACTGCCAAAGCATTTATATGATATATTTGCATACCTGCACGCAGAATAATGATTCCTAATGGATTCTATGGCTATAGAAACCCCTATGCACCTATAATGAAACTAACAAGTGCGACTTAATTATGATAAAGTAAAGTCTCACAGGTGAGCTGCTCATGGACCTAATTGCTCCTGAATCAAACTTCAAATAATTCGATTCGGAATATTGTTTACATTATTAAAAGATGATTTGGTGTTTTGTTTTTATGCTCTGTAGGAACCATGGTTTACAGGTGGAGATCTCTGTAAAATCAAATGCCAGTCAGAGTTTTAGGTAAGTTTATCTTAAATTTGTGTTTTTTAACTCGGTTGTCTGCTCATGCAACATGGCGGCGCCCATGAGCGGGCGACCTGCATTATGTAATGCATCGGCAGGCCTAATTGTTTTGGGTACAGCTTTGGCTACTGGGAACAGTGTGCAAATGAACGTGCAAATTAATAATGCACAGTACATTTTATTTCATGCAATACTGTGTAAAGTTTTTTTTCTGAAGAGGCAAAGGAAGCAATGCCGCATTTGGATGATACATTAATTGATTATTATACAAATATTACGAAATATGATAGCAAATAATGTCTAACGCACTTATTTTTCTCTTTTAAGCTTTTTGTGTTCTCGTTGAGCTTCTCAAGTGTTTTGTGAATGCGAGTAGCTTTTTTGACTACGTAACAAATGTTTTGGTATTGTAGTTATTGTTTTGAAGCAGAGTAAAAATGTTTTTAAAATGCATAAAGATAAGTCAAGTTTATTTATAGCACATTTAATACAAAATGGTCATTCAAAGTGCTAATAATCAAAACAGATACAAAATAAAAAGTAAAAAATAAAACTTTTTGAAAATATGTTTAAAGTTAATTTAAAAAGAATAAAATAGAGTACATGAATAAGATGATATGGCGCAGTTATTAGGATGCATGCAACTCAGTCCTCATAAACTTGATGATACTTTGATAGTCTATGACTTGATTTTAATAAATAAAAGTAGTTTAAACTCACAAAAGTATTATTACTGTTTTCTTATAAAAATGTGTGGTAAATGTTGCTCCACAAGCCTTTAACCTGTAAACAGTGACAATAATTGCATTTATAGTGGATCATAAACACCCAAATGCAGAGATGGGACTCCTCGTTTCAGAAGTAAAACATATTCACTGATACAGAATAAGAACTGTGATACAGACCAGACAGACTACAGATCATGAAGTGAGAATGTTTCTAATATTGTATGTATTACTGAGATAAACAATGACCATGATGGCACTTGAGGTCTCTTTACTGTTGTTTAATCTGGAAATTAGTAGTCTGAGGTCTCAGAATGAGTCTTTATCGCATAATTATACATCAATGGTTTTTAATATATTTTTAGATAAATAGATTTATTTCTTTAGAGCTAATTTCTTTGACTGGAATTTTTTTCGTCCTCCAATTTTCAGCTATTAGGCACTTGCTGGTTCAGATACGTGACTGACAGTATAGCGCCCCCTATGGTAATATCAGAGGAACGGCAGCGTGTCCCTCAGGCACGAGAGGCGAGACACAATCACAGTGCTTGACCTCAGTGAGGTCACATCTTCTGTAATACTGAGTAAACAATTAAATTCAGCCTTGTGTCATAGACAAATACAACATTAATTTCCTGTCTTGAGTGTTTTCCCTGTAGTGCTCTGTAAAAACAGTCGATGGTTCTCTCTCATTATTTGCAGAGGTCATTTTCCAACATTTTTGTCTAGTGATGCTATATGTACCATAATAACACATTATATGATACTAGTCCTGACAATCACTCAACCCTCTTGTTTTGTTGGTTCTTTAAAGCACACATTTGCAGCTATTTGTCGTTTATTTCATTTAAAAGCATACTCATACCATAATAAATAAAGATAAATAGAATGATAGAACAATAGGTAGATAGATGGATGGATGGATGGATGGATGGATGGATGTATGGAGAGATAGATAGACAGAGAGACAGACAGATAGATAGACATAGAGATATATAGATAGATAGATAGATAGATAGATAGATAGATAGATAGATAGATAGATAGATAGATAGATAGATAGATAGATAGATAGATAGATGGACAGAGAGACAGATAGATAGCTAGATAGATAGATAGATAGACAGACAGACAGACAGACAGACAGAGAGAGAGATAGATTGACGGAGAGACAGACAGATAGATAGATAGATAGATAGATAGATAGATAGATAGATAGATAGATAGATAGATAGATAGATAGATAGATAGATAGATAGATGGATGGATAGATGGATGGAGAGATGGATGGATCGATGGATCGATAGATGTGAATTTATTCATTCATTTATTGTGTCGTTTGCTATTCACTCAAGTATTCAACACTCTCTTTTTTACAATCCAATCCACAAACAATGGATAAAATTAGTAGCAGTAAAGTTGGTCACAACTTCTGTTTCTTGCTGACTTTAATCAGTCATATAATGACATTTAATATGCATTATTATTAGTCATGTCCAAAGCTCAAGAAAACATCACATGTGTTTTGGGCTCCATATAAACGGCATGATTAAAATTGAATTAGAGCACATTTAATTGATAGCCGTCGGGTGAAACAGGGTCAGGAAGTTGAATGTGCCGTTATTAAGACGACGGGACCATCTGAGTGCTTAAACACTCACTTCTCAGTCCGTGACCCAGTTTCTGCGTGTGGAGAACTTACGTGGGCTTTTGCTGTTGTGAAGTTCTGAACATCAGGCTTTTACATAAAAACATTCGCTTAATGGTGAAAAACATGAGGTCATCAGCAGCCGACAGGACAGGTTTCACTCTTATTATATTGTCATATGAGATTTTACTTCATCATAGACTGACCTTTTTATAGTCAAGAGAATTTGTTTTATTTATGTACAATTTTACATTTATTCATTTGGCAATAAAATAAAAATCCTCATCAAATCAAGCCGCATGAAATGTATTAATTTTCTTAGTTCATCTTCCTGGCTTTAATGTTTTAATGTTTTCTTTGTAAATGCTTAGGGATGAAAGTTTATTTTTCTGAAAAAGATGTCTTTTTTTATTTTAATAGACAAAGATTACCACCAAATCTGGCCTTTATTGTTAATCTCTGTTTAATTATGGGGAAATACCATATACATTAACAAAAATGGGATAAAGGAAAACCCAACTTTTTGTTATTTCAGATAGAAATGAAAAATTATATTGAGTTACTACTTGGGTTGAAAAACAGTAAAGCAAAACGTACTAGGTCTTTATGTGAAGCTTTTATGCTATTTATATGATGATCTCATACATGTTCCTTTTCTTTTTATATTATTTTAATTAAATTAAAATTTAATTTTACTTGTATTATTAATTTTAATTACACTATATTTTCTTTTCTTATTTGCTGTAATGTATAATTATTTCATTAATTATTCTTGTATAATATTTATTGTTATTTTTATTATTTGTTTGTGACTGACATTCAAAAAAGATTACCGGGTGCCCGCGGTTATGTAGATATAAATGTCTCATTCTAAGGTAATAAAAACAAAATTAAATAAATAAATAAATAAAAATCTTATATTTCATTTCTGTCAATAGATCCTCAGAAATATTACACATTGCACCTTTAAGATGAAGCATCCGCTATTGTCTTTGTCTATCACGCACAAATCAATATTGTTTTTCAAGGTTTAAATCACCCATAAAAACCAAGAAGTGACGTTTGCGGTATCTAAATTTACACCCTGTCTTACATGATCATTGATTTTTCCGGGTGACTTTTGAACTCCTGTCAGAGATTTTATTATCTGCTATAAAATAGGAAAACGGTTCCGTTTGCCTTCAGTGTTTTGGTTATATTTTATTATCCCATATAACATTTTTATTTACTTTGATAGACCTTGATTTGACTGGTCGGATGACAGAGCTGTTCCATGAAATATCGCAATCAGAAAAAATAAGAAACATTAGAAAGAAACATAGTGTATCATAGGGTTTAGCCTCAAATTAAAATTCAAAATAATTTTTTCAGGATTTGGCCTAATAGGATGTTATTGAGTTAGACATAAACGCATGATAAACGTGTTTTTTTTTTTTTTTTAAGTTTGCAATGTGTAGCCTATATAAACATAGGCTTGATAAATAAAAGTTTGTTGTTTTGAGTTTTGACCAGTCATCTGCTCTTCTACATTGTTGGGCTTTATTTTGTGTAAACGTGTTTCTTATCACATCTTCCGCCTTGACGTTTATGAGACGAGGAAGAAAGATCCGTTTCCTTCAGATTTCAATACATCCTTCTAGGAAGATCCTAAAGTCCTTCTCTTCCGTCTGTCGAGTCTGTAACGTGTGTGACGACACATTTATTGACTTAATCACTTGAACCTCCCTCAGATTTGACTGATCCAGTATGACAGAGTGTGTGTGTGTGTGTGTGTGTGTGTGTGTGTGTGTGTGTGTGTGTGTGTGTGGATTGACGTAATGAGGGATGCTTACGACAGCGTTCTGTCTCTGAGATGACATAAAATCAGATATGAGGATACAGTGTAACTCTTCTTGATGCCCGTCATCAAATCTCA